ATGACTTTTTTTTTAATTATTTTATCGAACTTTAAACGAAAATTAAAGAAAAAAATTAATATTTTGTCACCTAACCTTGATGTTCAAAAAGCTGGATAAAATTGCTAAAAAGTAAAGAAAAAGAAAAAAGTCGCACAACAAGTTCTAAGAGATCGTTGTCAAGAGAAAACTTCAACTTTCAAAATCGTTGAAGTATTGGCCTCAAAGTATAATTTTTATTAGTTCATTTAATTTCATTAATTTGAATAAAGTGAAACCAAGTAAATTCGAAGTATCGACTTTAAAGTATAATTTTCATTAGTTTAAAGTATTCATTCAGTTTCAATAAAGTATAATTAGTTCGAAGTACAAATATTCACTGGTTCAAGGTATAATCTTCGGTCATTATGCATCCAATTGTGCTACACTTCTGCCATCGAAAAACTCGCCGCCATCTTGTTTCTCTGTCAGCACATTTTATTAGAAAACGCGCAACTATTGCACGAGAATCTCTGTGTTATTCCTCGTCGCGCCTCAATTAACAAACAGAATTGCCAGTTTCACTCGACCGCCCTCTAAATAAATTTCCATATTCGATTTCGAAAGCGAGAAAACGAAGCGAGCCTCGATCGATAACGAATTTCGGAAGGGACCAATTTTGCCAACGCGGAAACGGAAGAGACATTGCCTCCGCACGACGGATGCGAAGATCAGTTCTTGAATTAATTATTCGGCCGTTCCCGTTCTAGTCGCGATTGCAAGTTCGTTGTCCGATCGTCGACTCGTGTTCCATCTTGCAAATGACTTTGTTCCAAAAGCTGAGTATACAGCAGACTCCACTCTAACGCGCCGAAAATATTGACTACCATTTTCGTGCAACGCGCTGTATAATAATTAAAGTGCTGGAACTTGCCGCATTTAAAAATGATTAAACTTTGCTTTCATTGATTATCATTACGTTTTTCACCGAATTAAATAATAAATTTGTCTAATAATTTATTTCCTATAAAATTGAAAATTAACAAGTAGTAATAAATTTAATGATGCTGAAATAAAAAAGATTTTATTACACACATGAGTAATGTGTGCGTGTGTTTGTTTTTCAAATTGACTGCGTGTATGTGCAATTAATTTAAAAGAATCTTTATTTCGTCGTGTTTGACAAAAATAAAGATTAGTGTAACAACGATCATTCCAAACGTGTTACTTTATGTTGTTCGTGGAAAATTTTCGTACGGTAGTTCCTACATGAGCGTCCTCACTTAGACAGTTGGGACTGAAAGTATAATTAATAAGAATAGCCATAGATAACGTTTTCTGATACTGTACAAAGTTTTATTTTATTTAAATTATTGTCACTAGATGGCAGTATTTATTAAATTTGAAAAAAAACGACATTATATTCACGGACACCAATAATGTGTTCTTTCGATCGACAAGGCGTGAAATTATCGTGGAAAATTTCAGTCAATCGACTGACGCGCCACCGATTACCGACCGATAAAGTGCGTCAATTGTTTCAAACGCTCGTCACGTGACCAACACAAGCACGTATTTCTATGTAAACCTCGATGAATTCGCAACGAATCCTGGTTGTTTGTCGAATTGCGACAGGGCAGCTGGATTACATCATTCGATCAAATAATTCGCTGTTGTTTTACTTATTTGCATTCACGTTGCTTCACATCCCAATACTTTCAACGATTGGTAAAGACCTCCCACATTTGACACTTTTTTTCAAGGTTAAAGATGCTATTTTTCTTTCACGTTTCTTTCTGTTCCCTGTTAAAATACGTACACAAATATACAGGGTGATTCACGTAACTTGCACGCCTGAAACAACTTTTAAATTATGCGTCCAATGAAAAATTGTTTCATACAAAAATTGTTTATGGTTTTAAGGAAGGCAAAATATGGCAAGTATCAATTTTTTGTGAATTTCGAAATTTCCAAGGTCTCCTTAATTATTAGGTTTAGGACAAATGTGACTAAATACTTTTTTACTTGGAATTTAATGTTCTTTCGATTTATGATGAAAAAAATATATGGTCCAACAAAAAAAAAAAAAAAAAAAAAAAAAAAAATCTTTAAAAAAAAAAAAAANTATCATTAACCAATTACTTGGAATTTGATATTCTTCCAATTGATGATAAAAAAAAATATGGTCCAAAAAAAAAAAAAAAAAAAAAAAAAATAAAGATCTTGAAAAACACGAAAAATTGAAACGCCACATTTTGCCTCTCTTAAAACCACATAACGTTTTCATTAAACAATTTTTCATACAATTTGAAAGTTATTGCAGATGTGCAATTTCCGTGAATCACCCTGTATATCATATCGTGCTCGATTAACAGAGGAAATTTGATTTCAACGCTAATTTCAACGAGACTACCTATCCGACGGCTGGATCGTCCAGGAATTACAGATTCGCTTTCGCACGCCGAGAGAAGATTTTTTTTCGGGCATGCATATTTAGCGTTCCGGTTTTCGTTCGCGATCCGCTGGCTGCGTTTCAATCTGAAGCAACGATCTCGCTTTCGGTGTTTTACTTTCTTCCTTTGAATTCGAGGCCGAATCGAATTCGAGTGGATTTATTCCCACGTCTCGTCAACACTCGTTCCGACACTGATTCGTCTTTTCGTCGCGTTGCGAAAATTCGAAGCTACACTCGCGGAGGAAGAAAGAAATAACGATTGTGAAAGGTCGAAAACGTATCGAACGTGGGTGGGAAATTTCGTGTTTCGCCGTCCTCGACGAGCGAGGACAAGTGCCCACGTAGGATCCTAGTGTAAACAGAATCGAGAAGGTTCGGTGCGAGGAAATTTGATCGGAAAGATATTTTATTTGGATGAAATTTGGAGAGTTTGAAAGAATGTATAGGTATAGGTAGTTCTATTGTAACACGGCAGATGGATTCTTGCAAAATTGTGTCAGACTAGGAGCCAGTGAAGAACCGTTAAAACCAAACAGTTCAATTTTTCAAGGTTATTTTTATTGGAAATATCAATGCATATATAACACAGAAAAGACATATATATATATATATATATATATATATATATAAACTGTATATAAATGTAAATATACATATATAAACTATTTTCATTTAATTATAGCTCAGTATAATTAAGCGAGAAAGTTTTTTCAAACAATATCGTCTTCACTTTTGGAAAAATAATTAATTTAAATAAATGCACGATGATTTTAGCATGATGTAAAAGCCAACCTGGTGAAACCTCTTGAGTTTCAATCAAAAACTACCAAGATGATCAAAATGACTAATTCATAATTTTTTAGGTTAGATATATCGTAGATGTAAAAAGAGGGTATCGTAGATGTAAAAACTATTTTTAGAGATTCGAATGATTTTTTATAAAATACACAAACAAAAGCTTGTGTATTCTGTTCTATCTTTGGAGTTTCTCTATTTCTTTCGCTTTAATATCTCTGATAAAACTTTTGTGCTTTAGTCCCGCGGGGGGCTAAGTTTCAACATGGTGCCCATGCTCCACGAAGGGGGCAATTTAATTTTCCAGGGGACAATTCGAAAATGAGTCATTAGTGGAATGTTTTGCATTTCTTTAAATGAAAATTCAACTTTCTAATTTCTTTTCTTTCATGGATGTCATGTTCTTTGGAAGCTTGTTTAGACCTTGAAATTAATAGCTTTTTAGGCTTCCTCCGTGTCAAAAATTCACTTTTTGAACAACAAGAATTATACGTCGCAGGGATGAGCATCAGGATTTTAGAAAAAAATAGGTTGAGAACCACTACTTCAGATCTTGGTAGTCTAGTATTAACAATTCGCGAAATAAATAATATAATATAATATATTTTTTATATATATATTTCACCTTATTACTCCACATTCTTTATTTCACTTTATCCCTCAGACACTCGACAATTTTGAACTTTCCAAAAGCTTTTCACAAGCCTATATAAAATTTTTGAAATTGATTCTTTTTTCTCCGTGTTTTCGGGCCAAGTGGTCTCCACTGCGCGGCGGTTCCTCCTGATATTGGCTCTCCTCTTGTGAGAACAGACCAATCGAGTCTTCGTATCATATTCGGGTGTCGAAATTGGGAAAAAATAGTGGCATCAGATGAGAAGGACAGGAAAAGAGAAAGAAAGAGAGAGAGAGAGAGAGAGAGAGAGAATCCAGGGTTGCATTCGTCGGCGATACAGGCGAGTTTGCAGGTAGACATAAAGTTAGGTACATACTTACGTTACAGTCGCGAGTCGAGGAGTGGGGATGTGTGTTTGTCGGTCGGGTAGTAGACTGAAGAGAGAAACACTTCAGTTCGAAGTCGGACGTCCGACGTCGCTCACCTTCTGTGAACTTGTTTCGCCTCGTGTTCGTCTTTTCCTTCTCTTTCTCGACCGGTTCATTAACGATCGCGCGATCGTCGGTGTTGGGCAATTAGATATATATACCACTTATCAAATCGACACGGAGTTACGTAATTAATTAGCGCGACGCCGCGTTCGCCTGAACGTAGTCACTGTGATGTGGTTACAGTGATCGTTAACCGTGTGCTCGATCTCCATGGCCAGCGATCGGGTAAATCTCCGCGGACGCTAGTCGAAATCGCGAGTTGGATTGCCGATATAGATAAGAAAGAAGCATCGAAGAAGATGCTGACGTTTGAGCGGAAGAAACGTCGACAGGCCTCGGAGTTTCCGTCTCTGACGAGGTTCCAAGTCACAGCTTAGTCGATTATCCTCGATTATCGAAGAAACTGGCCAAACGAAACGAAGCTCGAACGAGGTAATGAGCCGCCCGCGAACCGTCGGAGGATCGCTCGAATAAAACTCGACGAAACGATAACGTTGAACTCGCGCAAGGAACATGCAGGAAAGTGGGCAATTTTGATGTTGCATCGCGTGGCCTGGCTACTCGACGAGGAAACAGTGACTCGTCGCGGGAAAACGGCCGGAGATGCGAGAGACCAAGGACACGAGACGGTGACCAAAATAGAGGACGGGGACGAGGACGACGCGCGAGCACATCGAAAAAAATGGCTATGACGGGCCCGAGGGACAGTTCGCTGTTCACACGAGACAAGGAGAGCATTCCAGCCTACAATGTACGTATGTTGCATATACATACACAAGCGATTGTCTTTCTCTCGCGTTTCTCGAACCTAGTGCATTCGTTGTTGCGCGATGTCCCTCCTCAGCTCAGACGACGGAGAGCAGCGTTTTTGGCGCGAGAATAACACTAGAACAGTTTGGAGGGAACAGCAGCAGCCAGTTCGTCTCGAAACGAACATGAAAATTCATCGTCGCTCCGCGATGTTATCGATTCGCTGAATTATTAACGACTGTGGCATTGACAACTACTACTGGTTGCGATGTCGTTGCGTCACCGCTCCTTCGGTCGGTGCCGAAAGGAGCCGCATTTTAATCGAAACATCGCGAGATTACGTAAACGAGATGGACGTGCACCTTGCGAGAGAGACGACGACCGGCACCCGGCAGTGGTGACAGGCCCATTCACGAAAAGTTTCGCTCTTGCAGCGTGTTTGATAAGAACCTGGACACGCCATTTATCTGGAAAAGAAACATTCTTTTTGTAAAAAAATTCTTATACAGATGGAATTTATTTTACGGATCTACTTTTTTAGTAAAACATCATACTGTAAAAAAAAACTAATTTCGTTAGTTTTAAATTAAATTTAAAGTCACGGTATTTTTAGTAGAAAGCGATTTTTCACCCACCCTGTATTATTATTATTATTATAACTGTGAAACTAGTTTCGTTCGAATCGAACGATTTTTAAACCTAAAAATGGCGCGCAGAAGTGACGAAGAGAATACATACGTCGGATTCCTTGCCGGATTTTGATAGCGATATTATTGTAAAATTTTGAAAATTAATAATACTATGTATTATTCGTGAAAGAGTACGATTATGTCGATAATTTTTGACTGCCGTCGGCATAAATTCCTAGCCAAAATATTCCGACGAAAAAATGTTAACCTTTTGTGCTGGAATGACGTACCACGCACGTCGAGAATTTTTTGTTCCAAAATTGCAATATTTCCTCAGTTTTAAGTATAACCCATAATAAATAATAAATTTATTACTTTTCAATAATTTCTATCCAGCGATATCATACCGACGAGTTCAAAAAGAAAGCGACCAATTGTATACGGTTTTGATCACTCGTTATGGTCCGCAATCTGTCACTTAACCTCTTGCGCTGGCAACTGATTGCGGACCATAACGAGTGACCGAACAGTTCGTCGCTTTCTTTTTCTTTTGAACTCGTCGGTTATGATCTCGCTGGATAGAAATTGTTAAAAAGTAATAAACTTATCATTTATTTTACCTGGGTTACATTTAAATATACTTAAAACTGAGAGAATTTTGCAGTTTGGGAGAAAACATTCTTGACGTGTGTAGCACGTCATTCCAGCGCAAGAGGTTAACTCGGCAAGGATGTCCAATGTCAGTTCGCAAGTAAAAGAAAGAGTATAACGGCGAAAAATGACGAGGTTTGTTCGTAGTGTTTCACTTGACTACGAACCGCGCGCTAATCTGGGAAACGTGCAGTGCCACCGATTATTCCGTGAGATTGATAAGGAAAGACCGGTTTCGAAGTATAAAGTACTTACAGCCTGTCTCACAAGAGCGTGCTGGCGATATTGGTGAAAAGATTGATATACTGGATGTCCCACGGCTGGGAGGTGATTCTACATGCAAAAATTTGTTGAGAAGAAAGGATAAAACTTGTTCGTTTTTGAGAATCGTGACACTAGAACTACCAAAGTGATCAAGATGACCAATTTATAATTTTTGTTAGAAATTTTGTAGATATGAGACAGTGCATTTTTAGAGATCCAAATGATTTCTCATAAATATATAAATATAATATATAAATATAAAAAAGCTCATGCAAGTTATTTTTTTCATTTCAATGTCTCTGATAGAAATTTTATGCTTCGGTCGTTGGCAGTACTAGTGATAATATACACTCTTCTATTTTTTCTTTTCGACAGTGGATTATTTGTAAGATAAGAAATAATTGTAATAAAAAACCTTTCATAATCTATCGCAATTGGGAAAAGACTTGCAATAAGTATAACTATAGGTTAATCTCTGAAAAATTTAGGTTAGAGGTTAGGTTTTAGGTAAGTTAGGTTAGATTAGAAATCTACGTTTTAGGTTAGATTTTTAGTTAAGTTGGGTTAGGTTAGAATTCTAATTAGGTTAGGGTCTAGATTAGATTTTTGTTTAATAAATTAAAGTTTGTCAAAAAAAAAAGAGAAAAAAACATTCTTAGCCCTTGTCAAAATGTTGCCAGCGAAAGGGTTAAGCGTTATCTGCATGTCGCGAAATGACCAATCGAAATAGACGCATGAGATCATCGCGTGTTGATTCGGTGTTTCCCTCAATTCGCCGATCGGCCTCAACCGGTCGGATATTTCCTCACGTTACGCTACTGTGTCCAGTGTTTTTCATCCGACGAGTTAAAAAGAGGAAGCAAAAGTCAGCGTTGACACGCCTACCGCAAGCAGCATGCGAATACGCTGCACCGCCCTCGACAGTCGCACCTGCCTTCTTTCTACTGTCAGTTTGCCGACGCTTACAGACGAGACATTCAAAACGTCTAAGGCCGTCCCTTTGCACCTGTTCCAAAGGTGAACCTCTTTCCTCCGTGGATCGTTACAAATCGTGCCGCAAACGCGTTCCAAAACGTCATTTAACCACTGGTTAAACCATTAGCATCAGCCTTCTAATAACCGGTTCGCAGACGTACATTTCCGACGAGTGAAACGAATAACCGACTTCGCGGTAAACAATGGACGATTATAGATTCTAATTGCGACATCCATTTGAGGTTCTTTAGCAGAATTATTTAGCGCAATTACCATATATGACGAGCCGAACGAATGCAGAAAGCAGATGGAAAATTTACAGAAGATGCAGGTTACTCTACGACGAGTGTAGAGTAAGTTGGGAAGTGATGGCACATATCTAAAAAAAGAAAGAAAAAATTATCACTTCTGAAATATAATTGAAACATCAAATACGTGTAATTTTATAATGTTACAAAAAATTATCATAGATTTACAAAAAATAAACAAAAGGAATAACATCTTATGCAAAAAGCCATTTGATCCAAATTGTCCCCCAATGATATATATATTTTGAGCTCAATTTTTAATTTATTATACAACTGTAGGACTGTGTCATCTATATTAAATATATTTGCTCCAACAGTTGAAAATACAAATCAACCTTTATCCTGTTCATAGCCTGACACCAAGATAAAGAAACGCCTTCTGATTTGTGATCCCTTGTTAAATTTGATTCATCACCAAGTTTTCAGGCAAATTAAATGCCACAGATCTTATGCATTCATTTGTTGATACGGATTTAAAATTTCTTTCTCATTTTACCACTCTAGCAATGAAGGTGGTCCTAAAGTTTTGTTTGTGAATAATCATTATTTTTCATTCATTCTATTCTTTAACGTAGGAATCAGAAACTCTAGATGCCTATTTTTTATCACTTGGAACTGCCTCTATGAGATCCAACAATCCTTCATTCGTCCATAATCCTCTATTGTTAGATTTTTTTTTATGTTCGGTTGGCATAACTCTCTAGAAAAATACTTACTGATTATTACACACAATTTCACCCATAACCGATAATCTGCAAGTAACTCACTTGTTTCTTTTAATAATTATACGACAATATCTCATTATAGAAATGTAACCATAACCTCTAAACACTGTACTTGTTGCTTTCTAAATGTTAGTAAATTATAATTTAAACTATAAGCAGAGAATTTTTGAGATTATTTAATCATACATATAACTTATATTTTTATTATGTATTATATTTGTGTCATGTATTATACATAACCTATCTTATTTTTCAAATGAAAACGAACAAGAAGAACGGTTTACATAGCTTGTGATTAAGACACAGTATTAGATCACTATTTTAAGAAAGCTGAAAATTGTCATTTGATACTCTGTACAATGAGAACGAGCCATCTTATTTGGAAACGAAATGAAATGAAATGAAATTATATAGCCAGACGCGTTTCTTAATCATTTTCCTTTATAACGAATGAAATGAGATTAAATTATACAGCCAGAGTAAAACGGATGAGAATAAATAGCCAAATCGACGACGTTTTCTCTTAGTTACAATCCCAATGCCTCACGAGCCACCATTTTTTCCTACCGAGTAGAAATCACGCTCTATCGGACCAACCGGTTAACGACCGATTTAACTGGTTCTCTTCGACTCGGTGCGACTAGTTCCTCGACTAGTTCATCGAAGATGCGGGCTGTACGAGCAGAAAACATCGGCGGCCATCGACGCGTAATTCGAGCCTGGAAAACTTCTTGAAACAGAGGAGAAAATCGGTAATGCACGCGTCGCAATTTTGCGCAGTTAGCGTTCGAATAAATTGATCCGCATGACGCGATAAATCGTAAATGGTTATCGCGATTTTCCCTGTTTAGCGTTCGCTTAATTCATTGACGATCGATAATGTAGTCCTACGTAGTTTGCCGGTAACGTAGTTCTACGTCATTTTAAATTTGTTAACTGAATACCGGCAATGTCCTACGTCGTTTCAAAATTGACACCCCTGCTAGTCGCGAGGCTCACGCATCACACAAGATGGCCGAATACAATTTTCATTTCTCTAATAAATATTCAACGAATAAGTGAACGATAATATTGCAGTTGTCCAAACTATAACAATATCGCTGAGTACAGTTAATACAGCAGTATCAAGTTTGCAAAGTGCAAGTAATAACACTTATACAGTAAGAAATTGATTGTTTATCGCTCGTTTTTTTTTTTCTTTTTTTTTCTATTAAAATTATCAGTATCTTTGTTGCAAATTTTTATCAGGTATTTTCTTTACACATTGATCGGTCAACAAAAACTTATGGAAAAAGGAGACAACTTTCTGAACAACGTTTACACGGATGCGTTTTCCGATTATGAATTGAAGTGATTCGAGTCCCACAACGATAGTGATACAGGCAACGATGCCTCGGTGCAATTCAAACGAAGGGAGATCAGAATAATAAGAAGCGACGAGAAGTTTGATAACAGAGATGAACCTCTTACGCAAGCACGATATTTTTTATATTCACATATGTATAAATAGCAGAGGTACTCGGCTACAGACTTTTGGAAATTATGCCAAATGTTGTTCAGCCAAACCATCACGCCCTACAATTGCCAGTCGCGAGTCTGTTGACAACCTTCGTGCGCCGTGTTGTCTCGCTCACGGGCTTATTATTATTCTTTGCCGATGCGGTGTAACTGTACCAGGGTGTGGCTTACACGCGGCGACGTGACTCGACAGGACGAATACGGGGAAAACGGTGTTGTTGCACGAAACTCGTAATGGCTCGTTTGATCGATCTCCTATGGTAACGACTTACGTGGACGTGTAGTAAGTACGTGCGTGCATGCAAGTAGTTGCTTCCAGGCGATCCCGCGACCTTTACCCATCTATTCTTTTAGTCTCTATTTCCGTTGTACGCTCCGGCACAAAAGGATAGCATATTCTGCACTTTTTATTTTGTACTGTATATAGTAAAAAAAAATTACTTAAAATACAATGATAATATAATGGCTGTGTTAACGAGTCGCAATTCCTTAAAGATATACGTTAAATTATTTTGGGGTATTTATAATGTAATATA